TAGATTCATTCATAGGAAAATGGATACATATTGAGGATATACTCCTAAGTGAAATAAATAAGTCACACATGTGTAAATACTGAATAGTTTCTCTGGTGTGAATAAACTGTAATTGTACATAAGATCCTAATGAGATAACTGACATTGTGAAATGGGAAGAAAAGGGCTAAAGGTGTAGGGAAGGTGGGATGGGTAGGGGAAGGGTAATAAGGGAAAAGAAAAAAATGTGAGAAAATGAAAAGATGGAAATAAAGTGCTTGTAAATGGGAAGGGGAGGGGAATGAAGGGAGGGTAGGGACAAGGGGAAAAAATGAGAACCAAGACCTGTCATGTAGAGGTACAAGATCCCAACAATGAATGTAACTAAAATGTACCAATAAACTCAATTTAAAAAAATTAGCCAGAGCAATCAGGCAAGAGAAGGAAATAAAATGGATATGGATATGAAAGGAAGAAGTCAAATTATCATTATCTGTAGATGAAATAATTTAGGAAAACAACACCATTCATCAAGAAAAATTAAATATTTAGGAATTAACCTAACCAAGGAAATGAAAGACTTCTACAATGGAGACTACAGTGCTCTGAAAGAGGAAATCAAAGACATCAGAAAATGGAAAGATATTTCCTATTCCTATTATAGGCAGAACCAATATAGTCAAAATGGCCATATTTCCAAAACTGATACATAGATTTAATGCAATCCCAAACAAAATACCAATAGCTTTCTTAATGGAACTAGAGAAAACAACCCTAAAATTCACATGGAACCGGAGCAGACACAGAATAAGCAAAGCAATCCTGGGCAACAATAGCACAGCAGGAGACAGCACAATACTGGATGTCAGGTTATATTACAAAGTTACAGCTATAAAAACAGCATGATACTGGCGATGAAAGAGACATGTGGACCAATGCAACAGAATGGAGGATGCAGCAACAATCCCAGGCACATTCTGCTATCTGATCTTTGACAAAGGGTCAAATATGCTGGAGAAATGGTAACCTCTTTAACAAGTGGTGCTAGGAAAACCATCTAGATGTAGAAGACTGAATGTAGACTGGTATCTCTCAGCATGTACTAAGCACAAATCAAAGATCTAAATGTTAAAAGAGTAACAATTTGCTAGAAGATAAAATAGGTAAAACTCTTCTTAATGACACAGGCATAAGCAAGGACTTTCTGAGTAGAATCCCAAATGCATAAGAAATAACAGCAAGAATCAACAGATGGGGTCATATCAAATTTAAAAGTTTCTGCACAGCAAAGATAACAACCATTATAGTGAAAAGAATGCAAAAAAATTGCTAGCTATAGCTGGGAAGAGGATTAATATCAAGGGTATATAAAGAACTCAAAAAATTAGACTCTCCAAAATAAAAGACTCAATCGAAAAAACAGGCAACTGGAATAAATTGATGCTTTTCAGAAGAAGTACTACAAATAGCCAATAAATACATTAAAAATGTTCAATGTTTCTGGACATTAAAGAGATGCAAATTAAAATAACTAGATCCTACCTTACTTCATAAAGAATGGCTAACATCAAGAAATCAAATAACTACAAATGTTACAGAAGCTATCAATAAAGGAACCCTTCTTTATTGTTGGTGGGAATGTAAACTACTGCAATCGCTGTGGAAATCAATATTGAGATCCCCCCCAAACTAAAAGTACAAATTCCACTGAACCTAGCTATTCCCTCTCCTTCTACATCTCTTCCTGAAAGGGTTAAAGACATCACATTACAAGAATACCCAGGTTTATAGCAGCAGAACTGGTAAGACTTAAATGTTGAAGCAGTCTACATGTCCATCAGCAGATGAATGGATAAAGAAAATGCTGCATTTATACACAATGAAGAATTACACTGCCATAATGAGGGATAAATCTGAGTCATCTGTGGGAAAATGGATTCACCTTGGCACCATAATGTTAAGTGACATGAATCAGACATTGCACATTTTCTTTTATACAAGAAAATCAAAGCATACATAATTAAAGAACAAAATAAAAGTGAAGAGTAAATAAGGGATAGATCGTTCTGCGAGAGACAGAAGGAGGGAAGGGGAAGGAGATGAAAAAAATAATTAAGATGTATTATGTACTCATATAAATCCCCTATTAGGAATATGATCATTATGTCCTGAAACACACACACCAATAAAAAAGAAATCTGTATGGAAAATTAGTGCATATATTTTAAAATTACTTAAATTAGACTAATTTTAATTAGATAAAATTTTTACAATTAGAAAATTAAAAATAAAAACAGTATTAATTCAAGACATTTCTTTACTACAAATCTTACAAATGTCCTTAATATGAGATAAGACCCATGCATTTTCCATCTCTGGACCTCAAACATCCCTTCACTGAGTTAGGCATCAGGATGCCAGTGAGTGCAGAGCCTATGTGAATGCTGGCCACTAAAACACGAGTACAGCGAGTCTTGTTTGTTGGCTGGCCGTTGCCTTCTCTGTGGGTCACACTAAAAGCAGAGCTAGATGCTAATGGAATGTGACCATCCCACTGGAGAGCTACCACATCAAGCCCCAAAACACTGCCAGGATAATGTTTCCACCATGTACCACAGCAGAAATACTAAAATAAAACCAACAAAACACAAGACCCAAAAAACTGTTAAATGAGCAGTACTACTGCTTAAAGTCAGATCACTTACAAGAAACATTTCTCAATACTCAAGTTTCCAGAGTTCACTTTTTAAAAGTAATATTGTCTTAATTTATCATCCTTTAGCGTATCACCTCAAAAGAATTTATTTCAGCATTCAAATACTTTTAGAATAGTCCTCAAAAGATAGCTTATACAAAGACTCTATCAATAACAACTACAAAATTATGGGTGTGATTCCTTCATTTTTGAATTAGCTAATGTCTCTAGTTTGGTCATTTAGGGATTGTTTTCATACACAGGTCTTTCCACTGAGTTTCTTGTGAACAAGTGGTTTTCCCCACGGTTGACTCAACAAGTCCTCTGGTCATTTAGGAATTGGCTTTTCCCTGGGACCTCCAAGTCCCACTGCAGGGTGGCAGGAGCAGACAGGAGAGACAGGATGACACTCAGGCCTCCGAGGCCCTGCTCCCCCACCCCACTGTGGAGCAGGTCTTACTACTCAGGGTCTTGCTTTCTTTCCTTTCACATTTGTCTTCACTATTAGTCCTTACCTGGTGCACATGTACACATACAAAGTGAAGTGAAATAAAGTTTCACTGGATAAACAAAGTACAGCAAAATGGAAGTCAATTTGAGTCTTTAAACTTCTAGTTAACATTGTACTATTCTTTGCCACACTTAAACTGTTGGACACGTGATAGAGATAGATTTTTAAACTTACCTTTAAGTATTCCCACAAGGAAAACTGGACCAAAGAAAAAGGAATCTGGAGGAAGGAGGAAAAAAAAAAATCAAACAAATTAGAAAAATCAGTGTTTACCTAGCATTATTCATTATCATAAGAACGTATAATTACTGCTTAGTGTATATATAACAAACTCACAGGTAAGCACACATACTTAGAGGTAAATTATAACCGTAAATCCTCCACAATTTTTGGAGCCCAAGGACATAAAATGATGTTGTGATTTCTCTGTGAAATGCAAAGTCCTGACATTTTTTCTACTTCAGTATTCAGGCTTCTCTGCAGCTTGGTGGTCAAAGTGAAACAGAAAAGGAATAGAAGATGGAAGAAGGAATGTGGGGGGACAGAGCTGGAGAGGAGATAACAGAGGAGGAAAGGAAGAGAAGGTGGAGGGGAAAGATAAAGAGGAAAAAGGAAAGGAAAAGGCAAGTAGAGAGGAAAAGGAAGAGAGAAAAATGGAAAAAGGAGGAGAGAGAGAGGTGAGAAAGAAAGAGGAAAAAGGAAACAGAAAGGAGAGAAAAGTAAAGAAAAGTGAAAAGGGAGGAGAGGAAGGATGGGAAGAAAAAAGGAGACAGAAAAAACAAGATGGGAAAAGGATGTAGAGGGCACATAGAAAAGAGAGAAGGGGGACAGAGCCATCATAGCAGCAGGGTGAGCAACAACAGGAATCCAGGACAGAGCAGCCGGTCCTGGAGTGGGAGGGCTGAGCCCCGAGGAGGAAGATACACAGAGGAAGGCTGGAGGAGTACCGTCCCCCGCAGATCAGGGCAGAAGTGGCCCCACTCCTAATAGAGACCCTAAGGCAGTCAGGGAAAGGAAAACTTAGTAGTGAAGAAAGAGTGAACAGGAAATCACAGGCTTTTACAGGAAGCAGTTACAGTGAGTAGTCTAATAAAATAGGTTAAAATGATCAAGTTTTCATATGTTTTATCTCACTTCAACAACAGTAGGGCAGCCAGTATCATTAGCACCCCCTTTTATATATAAGGAATAGAGCCCTGTGTCATTACTACACCACCCAAGAGACATCTAACAGTATTAATCTGCAGATAAATTCACTCATAGTATTATGGATTTCCTATTAGTTTTCTGAATTTCTCAAATAGAAACCCCATCATATTTCCTAAAAAATAAAGACATAAACTCCAGGAGACCCACTAGCTTATGTAATATGTAGTCACAGGCCTGGGCATTGACTAGATACTGGCACCTTCAGCACATCATAGCCCTACACTCAATATCCACTTATGCATGGGTATATAAAGAGTACTTACCTTCGTAAGAATTAAGGCCATTATTTCTGAAATATTTGTATTTAGAAATTTAGTCTAGCAACATCTAATTCTAACAGAACAAATGACTTCCCTGAGTGTAACAGACAGCAGCCACAGAAAGAAAATAATTTTTTCAGAAGTGTGTTATGGTTTACATCCACGTGCCCCACCCTAAAGCTTCATGGGATCATAGGGAGGACCTTTAGAAGGTGATTGGGTTATAGAGGCACTGTAGCTAACTTGTTATTAGGAGATGGGGCCTGATCAGAAGAGACAGGTCATGGTGGTGTGACCAGAAGGTTATCTCTCCCTTCCTGGTTCCTTTCTTGGCTCTTTGCTTCTGTTACTATGACACTTTCTCCTCCGCTAAGCTCCTCTGCCATAAAGTCCTGCCCTGGAGCCAGGCAAGAACGGATTAAAACCTCTCTATATAAACTGTGAGCCAAAATAAACCTCTCCTCCTTTAAAGTTATGGTTTTTGGGTATTGTATGTCATGGGTGAGAAAAGTGACTAAGTCAAAGTGGCAGGGGAGAGTAAAAAACATCAACAGCCTGGATCAACAGGACAGATCAGGACCTCAGAGAAATCTGTCCTTATCATAAGTGAGCAGATCCTACTGTAAATGTCCAAAGTTCCACAAGAAGACTCAAATTTAGATTTTATTTTCCTTCTTTTTATTTTTGTTTTTGGTCACCAAAACATAAAATCATTTGACACCGTTCATTCTGAAACTAAACAGACATATTTAATTATCACAACTGCAAAATCTGACTATACAATAGGCTTCTAAAACTTCTAAATTTTAAAAAAATGTGATAAATTAACAGATCCAAGACTAACAAGCAGTGTTATAGATCACTTTTCTTTAGACTCCTCTCAAATGCTAATATATCATTTTAACAAGATTGTAAGCATTTCACATATATAAGATGAAAAAAGCATTTAAATACAGTGATGATCTTTGCTATACTTACTCACTTCTTGATTAAAATAAGCCTCCAAAATTGAACTATCATCTGAACTTATTGATATTGCTTACTACTAGATTTTAAACGCTGTGAAAGAGTATTTCTCCCATTTTTCTCTATTGAAAGTTATTAGTTAAACTGTTCTTTCAGTTTGAAGAGATAATTTAAAAATCACATATTTGGAATGGCCAAACTATTCCATTGGTTATTTATTTTAAAAAGTAAGCCAACAGTAAATCCCAGCTTTACTTTCTAAAACAAGATTAACTGACAGTCTAAGATAAATATAATTATTTATAGTACATTTAATTATTTCTGGTATCTAGTAGTGAAATGCTACTTGTAAGATAAATTCCTGATGTGAAAATTTTTTCAATGTTCTTCAAAATTGTGTTGCACACTTGTTCATCATGTGAAGTACTGATCGTAGAAATGTGTCCCACACATGGATAAGGCAGCTTGCCAGCAATTGAGGCTACACAGCTTACACAAACAATTCTCCCCACTGCAGGGAAGGCAGCCCTCAGAGAGGAGCTACCTCCCGGTCTGGGCTGGAGTTACACAACAGTGATATTTCTTCAAATCATGAATTTTATACCCTAAACAGATGTAAGCTGTTATTCTAAAATGTTTTATAGATGAAGAAAATGAATAGCTACCCTCAATGGTCTTATATTCCAAAACACAATATACCTATTTTGTTGCACCAAAAGTTACAAAATGGCTCACTGTTGTGACCTATTTAATGGTTGCATTTAAGATTTTTGTTGTTGTTGTTGTTGTTTTTTAAATAAGGCTATTAAGACCCAGGGCACTAATGAGTGGCAGTAAACCAGCAACCATCAAAGGGGCAGATGTAGGTGAAAACCAACTACAAATCAACACAGTCTCCACTTAGTATCAAACATGGCAACCATTCCACAGCACAGTACCTGTGAGCATGGTAGGCAAAGGAAATAAAATGAAACCTGGGTGTGGTAATCAAAGGAACTAAGTGCTGGGCATCCCTAATGACATTAATAATGTACACAGCTACTAATTATAAGCACACTTTATCTATCATTAAGTATCAGTCTTGAATTATACTTACAGCCAATCAATGCTACCAACTCTGTGATCTAAAAATAAAGATCAGCACCTTTACGGTCCTTTAATAAAGAGAAGTGATTTATAACATAACAGAGAGGAGATGAAGTTATGATTTATAATGTATTATTTACCTCAAGTTCTACATTTCAATGAAATGATCAAATCAGAACACTAATACATTTTTTAAAATACATAAAATTTGTTTAGAAGCTGTGGTGAATGTAATGCCACTATGAGTGTCCCAGGAACCCTAAGGAACATGAAAGTACATTTAAAAAACTGGGAAAGTTCTCACATTTGGCAGAAATAATCAAAAAGCCTATAACATTAAGATTTAAAAAAAAATATTTTAAAGGATGCCCAAGACTTCAAATCACAAGGTGTCTGAGGAACAGCACAGAATCGGAAGCTCTGCCAGAGAGGAGTGGGTCCAGCTGCTGGCCCATTCTAAATTCAAGGGATCCCACAAGTGATTCACAAAATACACCCCCCTCCCATTTTTTTTTTTTTTTTTT